ATCATTGGTAAACAAGTCATCAGACTCACTGCCATTACTTTATCAGATTACGTTCTTTCATTATCAAATTATACCACATTATCCCTATCCGTTATTACTATTTTTCTGTAGTTTTTGTGCATACAGTAAAATAATGCAATACACAGAGGATAAGAGATCAATCTGTAGCAAATCAGCGGAAGTTAATAGAACAGTTGTTTTTATCATTTTGTAATTAAAATATTTTCTGTTGTGTGGAAGAAAATGGGAGAATGCAAAGAGAAAAATGCGAAAATTTTCCGATCTACTCGCCAATCGGTCTGCTTACTTTTGTCAAATATTTTGGAATAAAAAGAAAGACGAATTCTGTTCCATAGAAACTTGTCCAGGAGGTCATGAAGTCATCATTTTAATAACATTGTTATTTGGCTCTCTCTGATCATTTATTGATTGATTACTCCAGAAAAGTTTGCAGTATTAGAGAGAATTACAGATTAAATACATTATGTATTGTACAGTAAAAAAGCTGGTAATTTCTGGAATTCAAGTAAACAGAGTAAGGGCAACCTTTTCAAGATCAGAATCCTTAAGAAGCAAACTTTGTAACTTGTTGTATTGCATTAAAACATAAGCCAAGCTGTCTTTTAAAATCACTAAAAATCCATCACAATCAGGTCATAAAAAGCAAGGAAAGAATTTTGCTAAATAAATTTAAATAGTCATTCGCTTGCGGTTTTCGTTACTTAAAGTTTTCAGCGAAGGCAAACTAAAATGTCGTTCTAATTTAAATATTAGTGAATTATTTCAGTTTTCAGTTTTATCTCACATTGAGTTTTTGTTCAACTCTTTTTTTAAACATAAATTTATCAAAATTATTACAAACAGACGTGCAGTTGTTCATACAACAAGTAATGTAATTTACTAGCTGTGAATGCTGAGGATAAAATTAGAAATCTCGGTACTCAGTTTTAAGATCACTGGTCATCCTTCCATTCCTGTCTGTAAAATGATCAATCTCATGTCTTACAGAAGGTGTAAGTAATATTAAAATCATGTTAATTCGAAAATTAGCGTTTGAGATTAAAGTAATTATTTTGTTCATATTAAAATAGAACCAAAATTTTTCTACACCAGTATATAACTTGGAATGCAGCGGATTTGTTCTCATATTCCATATTCTAATTCCACAATTTTCGTATTCACTTTATCCGTTACTGACTCCAATTGCTTATCATTATCAAACGTGATGTGATTATCGAATGATTTATGTTCCATTTATTGACTTCTTTGAATAATTTAATGAGAATAAAAATTAACGTAAACAATTGTAAAATTTTACAGCCACTTGAATTTATAATATATACTGCACATTTGGAAATATGATGATAAGCTGTTCTTATCTGCAATATCGAAAAGTGATTAATATTTTGCTTAAATTACATGAGTTGGTATTTACCAATTTGTTTCTTTTAAAAAATATTAAAGAAATTTGATAATAAAAATCATAATAAAAAACTTTTTAGATTGGCAAAAAATAAAGACAAGAATAATAAAGATAAAATTTTTGCACTTTTTAGTCACTGTAAATATTTATGACTTTAATAAACAGAGCACTAGTTCTCCTTGATATTGAAATAATAATAAAGCAATAATAATAATAATAATAATATAAATGGTGATAAAAAATAATTAAAAAATATTATAATAAATCATACTGAAATACTTATCAGATGTATCACAAATTTGTTTGCAATAAAGTATCAAAATACTTATCTAATAATAAAAATGTGATTTACGACATTCAAAGATGAAGCTTTTTTCTGACCAAAGAATTGTGATCACTTCAATTTTTCTGATTATAGTCTCAATTATAAAATAAAAACAAAAAGCTAAATTCTCTGTGCTCATTAATGATTAATATTCATAAAATTATCATGATAGCACTGCTAAGAGATGAAAGTTTGGAATTTGCTTATACTGGTATTTTGATTTCTAGCATTAATTGTGAGTATGATAACCCATGCTTCGAAAGTTTTCATATATAAACATTGTGTATCATTCTATAAGTGTGTGTTAAGATTTGCTATAATGCAAACGTATTTCAGCTTTACTGATCGAATATTTACCCCAGTTATGAATAAATATGCTCTATTTTCTACTCTTCATACTGCTAATAAAAATTTTTTGGTTATTCAAAAATAAAAATTTGTCTGTTAATTTTTATTTTGACGTTTTCGATGACAGTGGAATACTATTAATTCTAATCTAATAGACATGGACTTTTCCTCAATACTTAGAAGGTGAGGAAAAATATAAACTAAAATTCATAGTTGTGAAAAAAAGTTGCCACTTTTTCCTTACTTTATTTTAATTTGGTTCAGTGACTTTCAAATGCGAAGAGAAGAAAAGAAACGTATCATTCATTCTTCATCAAATTTACTTGCAATTCCATTTACCTGCTGAATTTTATCAGTGCTGTCATCATTATATTATCATTACTATCAACACCACTACTGCATCCTTATTAGAACTAAAGCTATTGCTACCGCAGCTCATCATTACTATACTTTCATAGCTCGGTGCTCTCAAGCAATCACGACATTTCCTAATAGTTGGCAAATATTGCAAGCACAGTCAACTTTCTCACGAAAATAATTCCTCATTTTCCTTTCCTTTCCTTTCTATGTTCACTGCTTGTTGAAATGAACTCTAAAATGATGTGAGTATTAGTTCGTTATTATTATTAATAAAAATCAATCCAAAAATTAAAACTTCAATTATCATTTAACAAGCATGATAGTTTTTCAAATTTACTGAAAGCAATTTATGATCTGACTTCAAAAAATTGTTGCAATGTTTTGGAGATAAAAATATTTGCAAATCTGTTCACTCTTAATTTACCAACAGGGAATACATTAAGACTACTTTATTGGTAAGATTAAAGTGAAAGAAATCCATGATAATAATAATAATAATAGTAGTGGTGGTAAGTATAGTGATGTTATTATTTATATCAATATTATTATTAATTTAATTGTTAACACAATCATGTAATAATAATAATTATTATTACAATTACTATTATTAATATTATTATTGCTATTATTACTATTGCTAATATTATCAGTGTTATTAATGACTGTGTTAAAAACAGTGAATGTTTCTGTAAAGGAATGCTTGTAAAAATAATACTGATGTCAGCATTTTTTAAGATTCCTTTCTAACAATTCATTCCTTTTTGCATTCATTTCCTTTTTTGTTCTCTTGTTGCACACACAAAACACTTCCATCCAAATGGTGGCTTTCTTGTTTAATTTGCATACCCTCTTGTTATGATTCAAAAATTTATTGCCCTAGCTGTAAATGATCAGATGCCTTATTTAGTGCCATTTTTGATCAGCAAAATTATATTTTATATTTTGTAGAATTTCAATCAAAAAAACGACGAAGATGGGAAATAAATCGAAAAAAGTGATAACAATTATCACTTAAATGAAAAGCTATTTAGTGTATAATATTAGTATTAGTGTTGGTAAAAGAGTATTAGTAATGTTACTATTAACAGTATTAGCATTTGAGTTATTCTCAATATTTAGCTTACATTATCATTTTCTATTTTACAGTATATTACATCTGACAGTACTAAACTTCTTCAAATTTTTTCAGAGCTTATATTGCTTTTAAATACTACCAAAATTTTTTCAAATGTTTCAAGATTAATTATGCCTAATTATGTTTTTGTTTATTTCTTCTTTGTTATCACTATTAATTATTTATTATAATTTTTAGCAGTTTGACAAGTCGAAATCAGTGAAGAATTCTCAAAATCAAATTGCAAAAGACTCATTCTTCTTAGTTACTGTTAAATACAGGGCTGGACAGTGATGAGATTATTGCAGTAACAACACTAATATCAGTCTTATTTTAATAGTTGACTGTGATTGTGATAATGATAATAAAAACAGTAATAATAATAGTGATTATTATAATAGTGACCAGAATGATGACAATTAAAACAGTAATGATACTGATAACAACAGTGATAACCTGTAATGAGCAACCAATTGTCTTTTATTTTTTGTGCAGTACTGAAAGTGTTCAAATTTGTCGGAGTGTTCTCATGCAAAACAGACGCATTATTTTTGATGGCAAAAATTTATTTTCGTCATTACAAAAATGTGCTAATTTGATAAGACAGCAGGTAACACCGTTCGTAGACATTTAACTTTTACCTTGCAGTATGTGTTGATTTCATTTAAGAGAAATCAAGCCTAAGAATTAGTCAATTCTCGCAGTAGTCAACAAAAAAGGTCGAATTTCACGATTTTAAACTGCTACAAAGAAGTGAAAATCTCTCATTTTCTTGTTTAGTAATATTTGTTTCACATCCAGCAATTTGATAAGTAGTTTTAAACGGTTATCAAATTTGTAAATAATGCAAAGTATTCATATTTTAATTGATAAAATCAGAAATGACTAATGCGCGTTATTTACAAGCCGTATGGAACTTTCCTTAGACGAATCGTGAATTTATGGAATTAGAGCTTTAAATTACTGAAAAAATTATCTATGAACTTTTATAATTGTCATTTTTACTGCATTCTATTCTTTATTCGTTGCTACACACTTCTAAATATTTGTAGGCTTGAAAAGGAAAGTTAAGCAATACAAAAATTGAAATTTATTTCCAAATACAGTTTGATTAGCTTCCCTTTCAACTTTTGTACTGGCGATGTGGAGGTGATGGAGGTCGTAGTGATGTTTTGAATCAACTGCGATCATGTGATATGATCACTGATTTTTGCACATTAGTCTTTATCATTAATGTATTTCCTACACTGCAAGTTGCCTTGTATCGTCAAGGTATACTCTTTAAATAAGATTTAAAGGTCTGAGTTATAGCTTAAATGAAAAATAAATGATATTTAAGAGTTAGATTTTGATCAGCCTAGCGGTGGACCTAACTATATACCTAGTGAATTATACATGTATTTATAAAGAAATATGAAGCATTTTCAAATATGGAACTTAGTCAGGTATTTAAATGGTCTCTACAAGTTATATCTAAAAGTAATGTTTTTGTCATCATTTTCATTCCCTACTAGTAACATTTTTATAAATTATATCACTCAGTAGCACTTCATAAAAGTAGAAAAAATTACTATGATAACAAATTTCGACATGAAAAATACGATATTTTTAAAATTAATAGTATTACTAAAACAAAAAATCTAACAAGAATATGAGGCTATATCATTAAGCTACATCATTTAAGCAAAAAAAAGCTATTAAACTTAAAAATTAGAATAGTTTATATTCGGATATAAGCCAATTACAGGAAATAATTGTATGGTTGACTACTGTGCTGATATTTATTCAGAAAGATTAGATGAAGGCGGCATTTTAATTGGCATGAATGCACCTTATTGCCAGGTATGAACTAATTTTCATCAAAACTTTTTTTAACGTAAAAAGCTGGATATTTCTTTTAGCACTGCAGCGAGTTAAACTGATTTTGACTGATTTTTTCACTCCTGCGAACATTAATTGAAATGACTTTTTTCCTTGCCCACATTTTAACTGTTTTTCGTTATTTCAGGTGATAACAGATTATATTCATTGTCTGAGTGAAACGAATCGGCCATGTCGAGGCAATCTTAGATATCACACATTGCACACTTTGCTTCATAGACAAGAAAAGGAATTTGCATGCAATTCTTTTCCAGAGACAATGAAACCAAGTAATTATGTACCTTCTGGGTTAGAGATTCTTGTTTTCTAGCTGTATGTTTAAAACGTAGTGTGAACTCAAGAAATAGACACAATTAAATGAAAAATACTTCAAATTTTCAATTTTCGAAAACTAAACTAGAGTTATTTTCAAAAGAATTATTCAGAAAGAAGTAAGAAAATAAGAAGGAAAGGATTTCAGTGTTCTGTACACATTTGATTTCTTCATACAATGTTTACAGAAAATTGTGCTCAAAAAAATTATGAAGTAATGTCGCAATAAAATATACCTAGGAATATTTCAGGTGTATATTTCCAGTTGACACTGCACCGCACACCGTGCAACGTTACTGTGCATTGTTTGGTTCTCGACATTTGCGCACATTAAACGGACGTTTTGAAACGTGTGGTCGAAATGGTGCATTTTCATTAGTAAACAACAAACATTTATTAGTGCAAATAACTCATGCATATTTGGGAAGTGGGACAAGTGCTATCTCCAAGGTAAACTTATTTTATATCATTATCAAAAAAAGAGGATTAGAAACTGCAACAGTTTGCTATTGCTACGCTTCCTAATTTTCTACCTTTTCTGAATACAGTCAAAAAAAGTATAGAAAACAGTTTAATTTATTTTTAATACAATGTAGTGAGTACCAAACTGATTAGACAAACAAAGTTTATAACTGGATCGTAGGCAAATTTTTGGACATAACGTTGCGTATGTGTAATCGGAGCACAGTGCAATAATTACAAATAAATCTGTCCTGCCATTTGGCTGATACAAACTTCTCTAAAAGGCTATTAACATACAGAAATATATTCAGTTGTAAACAACATGAAACAAAGATTTTTGTTTATCAAAGCTGGCAATGCTATTTGAGCATTTCAGTATAGCGTGAGATCTATGCATGCATGTGCTGTGAAAAATAGCATTATTTGTTGCTTTATTGCATTTATACGTTGTAAAGCGTAGGAGAGACTCTGATTGCTTACTAATCAATGCAATCGCATAATGATTCAGAATATATTTTTGCTTTGAGCTAAATTATATAAGCAATTTGAATAATGTAATATTCATAGATATATTTTCGAAAACATTCACTTTCCTAGTAAAATAATAAATATGAAGGAATGGATTTGAATAGCAAGAAAAAGCATTTCAAGTTAGTTGAGGACAAGTCAGAACTAATCAAGCATTGTGAGGGTCTTTGTCTTTGTAATAAAACTGATAATTCAATATTTATATTTGAGTACAACAGTTTTTTTACTGTGCTCTGAAATGCCTAATTATTTTTAGATGATTTTTTTTACAGATATGCAAAAGAGAGTGATTTTAGACTGAGGAAATAAATTAGAATATTAAATTATTGATTATTATTAATAAGAAAGATGTCGATGATGTTTTTCCTAATCAACTGGTGTAGAGTTTTTTTATTTTGGATTTTTTGGTTCTTCCTATTAATACTATTCATAAAAGATAACTTGATGCACCACAATGAGTTTGCATTTATTACATGCACTTATGTCATGATACGTTTACGTATGAGTGGAATTTAGTCAATTATATCCTCCTAAGTTGCTGTTACAAATTTTTTTTGATATGTTTGATTATGAAGTTATGATTTTTTGAGTCCAGATTACAATAATTATAAAAGAAAACAAACGTTGTACAGTACGCAAGCAGTATGAAGCTGATTCAGAAGATGAACGGCTACCAAATGCATTTAGTGATGGAAGTAAATATGTGGGTGATTCAAGTCGTAAGGCTGTAGAAATAGTTTTTTGGAATCAGAATCATGTTGAAATAGTGCTACGACACATTGCAACAAGAATTTACGTTAGGCGTCATGGTGTGTACCTATCAGTTTCTTTACGTATACCAGAACGGGTTGTGGAGGTTTGCTAATTTTGAAATTTGAAGTTTATGCACTAGTATTTGAGATAAAGTACGACAAAAACTTATTCTTAAAGTGAAATACATGTTTTTATATTACATACGTAGAAAAGTATAGCAGAAATGAAGGAAAGTGTGAGTGTCTTGAAATTATAAATTGACAATCACATTATAGATCACAACCATAATGTAAAGAGTCGTTAATTGAGGAACAGACTGACGATGAATTCGATATCTGCTCTTATGGTTGTAGTCGTAATGCTGCAGTCAAAATGGAAGAAGCTCTGGCAAATCCGAAATCGTTTATGCGTTGTCATGGAATTAGTATAAAAACTCCGTTGAAAACCGCAATTGGTAAGCAAATATAATTTCTATTTTTGATACTGATTCCAAACACTTCTGTTTTTTCTTCATAATATAGGTTATGACTATCTCCATTACTGAGAAATAATTAATTTTTTTTGTAAATTTAACAAAAAAATTGCAGAGCGGTGCATTAGAATTAATGTAATGGATGCATTTTTCGATGCATGCGTCTTTGATCTGTTAATCAGTGGGGATGAAAGATTGATTGCCCAAGTGTATGATGCACAAAATGATATTACGGATTTGTACTCTCCTTACGTACGCCACTATTTTACGGGTCGACAAAATCTCACGGTATATGACGCTAAAGCAGGTTACAAATGGAAACAGTGCATCTTAGATTCATCGATGAACTCCAGACAAGTTGCAAGCTCGGCTAGGCTAGTGCCATCACAACGATATAGACTACTTAGGGATATGTTACTTTTGTTGCTTGTTAGTCTTGTCAGCTTTTCAAACTAATTAATTCTCATTTCAGTAAGCACTATATTTTCCCTATTAATCAACAAACTGAAAAACTATTTCGTATAATGCTTCAAGTTTTAAAATTGTATAAATTGAACATTTTGATCTATTTGCACTCTACATCTCTTAATTATTTTGCATATTTTAGAAACAGATAATTTTCTTCTACGTGAGCAACAAGAAATAAGCAATAAGAGCTAAATTAATTTAACTGTGAAAAAAAATTACAATGAAAAATTTTTGAACTATGAAATTGTTCAATCCGAAAGATCTCAGTGGTGGTTGGAAATCTTCAGTTTCTGTAGCTAAGTTTTTTACTTGACAGGCTTACAATGCGTATGACTATCACGTAATGAAAGTAACTGTTCTCTTCAGCAAATTGTATAGTCATTAAGATTTTGTAAAGGTGAATTCATCCTGAAAAATTATCATTTATGTAAAGAACAGAACACCGCAATCATTATTTTACATGACTGCCTGAAGTTTTCTGGGTAATATAGCCAAACTTTATGTGCTATCACAAGGTTACCCTGTAATACTTGCGAATGGGTTCATGTTCGCTGTTTTATTGGTGACATTAGGATTGAATGGATGGTACGTTCAAAATACTAATGTTAGTGGGAGAAAAACACGGCATTGGCTTGATTGATGGACAGTAACTTATTACTTTGAGTGAAAAGTTTGTGAAATTTAAATTAAATGTCTGAGGTAGAGTAGCAAAGAAGAGTAATTGAGTTGCATACAAAATGAAATTTTAGAACGAAAATTGTGTAGGTAATCAATCATGAGATGTTGTATATCGCTTGTGATTAAGTTTTATTCGACGTATATAAAATGCTACAATATAATAATAAAGTAATACAACACTGTGAAGCCCTAGACTATTGTCAGTATGAAAAGTGTGGGACTTTATGTTGTCATGTTAATTCACTATTAAATGAAAATAAAAATTTCACGAAACTTTCAATAATTTTCAATCAAGGTAGATTTTCTTTTCCAACAAAATTTGCAGCATTGGGGTATTATATTTTGCCGCGTTTGATGAAAATGGATATATTTCGCCGAAGAATTGATAATACAAAAAATAAAATGTTCGAACTTGATGGTTATTTCACACCTTGGAAATGCAAGCTCTCAAGAGAGTTATACTGTTTAAAATGAGAGTGAGAAGCTGGTAAAGGGTCAAAAGGTTGGAAGGTCGAAAGACTAAAGATATTACTGCGCTTGCTGGCGATGATATTGCGATGTCTCATTCTGCTTCTCTTGAATACGGCGTTTTGGAACAAGTATGTGATTTTCATTTCATTTTCAGATCTTTTGTAAAACAATTTTATAGAATGAACAAACCAAAATTCAAGTTCTTTTTTCCTAAAGTATCATATATTTACTGCATAATCCTTAATACAAACATATATATATGCATATCAGAGAATAAGGATTGATGCATTGTGAATTTATATTGAAGTATATCATAGTATCACATCATATTTAAATTCTTCTGAAAGAACTTGAGTTTTGATCAATGTTTTATCGTGAAAGACTGACTGATTCTTCGTTCATTTCGGTATCACAACCTAAATGAGACCTTTACTTTCTCTCTCCCTCAGTCAATCCTTTCATCTTCTGAAGCAAGTTGAGTTTTCAGAGAGTCTGGTTTTATAATTATCTTTACATACTTAACACACTGTGATTCTGACTTCTAGAAGAGCAAAATATTTATTTTTCAATTGACTAGCCACTCGTCTGCTGAGATTGAAATTGGTTAGTTTCACTATGCAAATTACGCGTTATTTTTAATTCTGACTACAATCG